CTTTGGGGTGGGGCTTCCAGTGCCCCCACCTGCATCACTCTGGCGCTCCAGGAGGGATAGGCAAGGGTGGCCCTCTCAATGCCCTCTGGGGGGGGGGTGTGGCTGCTTATTGCTTGTGCCGCCCACAGCCTGTGTCTTGTCACCCCCCCTCACCCCTAGGCCACCCAGAGGCCATGCAGCCCCGGGGCAGCTGCATTTCTGGGGGAGCTGCATCAAGCCCCCCCCCCCTGTGACAACAGGGAACCTCCTACAGTCTGCTCCTCCCTCTTCACACCCCCTTGGAGGTATAAGGAGGGAACTGACAGCCCAGACTCCTCGGCTCCAGAGAGGGGAAGGGAAGGGCGAGGAGGCTGGGGTAGAGAGACCAGCTTGGGGGTGGCTGGGTTTCTCCTCTCTTGCTCCTCCACCTGGCACACGGGGCCCAGCCATGGGGACCTTCAACCTGTGGACAGACTACTTGGGTTTGGCACGCCTGGTGGGGGCTCAGCGTGGGGAGGAGGAGCCGGAGACCAGGCTGGACCGCCAGCCAGAACCAGTGCCAGAAGCGGGGGGTCAGCGACCCAGTCCTGAATCCTCACCCGCTCCCGAACGCCTGTGCTCTTTCTGCAAACACAACGGCGAGTCCCGGGCCATCTACCAGTCCCACGTGCTCAAGGATGAAGCAGGCCGGGTGCTGTGCCCCATCCTCCGCGACTACGTGTGCCCCCAGTGCGGTGCCACCCGCGAGCGCGCCCACACCCGCCGCTTCTGCCCGCTCACCGGCCAGGGCTACACCTCCGTCTACAGCTACACCACCCGGAACTCGGCTGGCAAGAAGCTGGTCCGCTCGGACAAGGCGAGGATGCAGGACCCTGGACACGGACAGCGTCGAGGAGGAGGCGGCGGCGGAGGCGGAGGTGCCTGTGCAGGTGGCTGGGGGGACTCGCTGCAGACGGGGGTCTGCCCTGGGCTGACTCAGAGCCTCTGAGAAGTGGGTTAACCCCTTGGCTGACCCACTTCAGAGGGTTGGGCAGGGGAGAGATTCCATACATAATAGAAAGCATAGAACCGTGTTCTAGAACTGTCGCCCCAGTGGGTATACTGGGGCTGGAGTTCTCTGTGTGGCCTTGGGCAAGACACTCTCCTTCTCTGGGCCCATAGAGGGAACATTTTTTTCAGGTGCAGGGTGATCTAGCAGGGAGGCCGTGGGGACTAGTGATGGGGTCTGGCAATAGGTACAGCAGGGGCTGCAATCCTGTGCAGATATGTAGGCGCCATGTGACCAGAGGGAAACAGCCTCATTTGTCCACTCATTCGCCAGGTAGTTTGTGAGGCTTGTCCTGTGCCAAGCACTGGGCTGGGCTTGGCCCTCAGTGGTAGATGAGAGAGTGACAGTTATAACAGGAACGGGGGAGTCTAAAGGGGGCACCAGAGCTAGACAAAGCGGTCCAGGAGAACTTCCTGGAGGAAGTGACTCCTGGAAGCCTCATTCAGTTTGGTGAAGTGCTGAAGGGGCCCTGGGCACTGGGGCTTGTTAGGGAACTTGGTCAAATTCCCTGCATTTGGGATGGGAGTATGCGTGCATGTAGGGTGGAGGGGAAGGTGTCAGAAATTTCAGGGAAGGGCTCCTTGCTGATCACCTTGAAGAGTTTGGACTTGGGTACTAGGGAGCTGAGAAGGGGACAAGAACAGGTCTGTGTATTAAGCGTGTATTAAGACTGTGCATGTGTTAGACCATGGCTAATGGGTTGGGCTGTGGGGGTGGATTTGAGGGGGTTGGAACAAGCTGGTCCTCCAGCCAGAGGTGTTCGAGTCCATGTTAGTTTGGAGGGAAAGAACCATAAGTTTGCTGTGTGTGGGTCACCCCGGGGAGGGTAGCTGGAATCTCCCTAAGGTCTGCACAGCTACATATGGTCCCTCCATCTTGCTCATCAAATTCGGATTCCAGTTTTGCAGGTCTGCGTGAGGCCGAAGCATCTGTACTTCTAACTAGCTCCCCTTGACTTCCGTAGCTGGCAGGCTTTGAGTGGCTAGGCTTCAATATCCCCAGTTACTATTACAGACTCGAAAGACTTCCGCTTCTGCAGATTTTTAAAAAAGAAATCCGTTTTAGCAAGTCAGCTAACAGAGGGACCGGTTTGACGGAGCGGTACCCCAGTACTGACTCTCTCATCAGACTGGGGGCGGCCCCTCGGGAAGTCACCAGAATGGAGGACCCCTTCCCATCCCGGCAGCTGTGCAGGGAACACTTGTTAGAAGGGTTGTGAGACTGCCTGCGGGAGAGGATAGCATTCCTGCGAGGTCCGACTGGGAGAGGAAGGAAGCGGAAGGGACACAGAGACGATGGTCTCAGAATCTTCCATTTCTTCTTAAGCCCGAGGGAACAGGAAAGCTTGACTCCGTGGGGGTGGGATGGGGTCGGGAAGCCCTCACCACGATATTAGCACGGAAAGGCTGCCTGAGGCTGTCCTCTCAGGAAACTTTCTGAGCGTAACCAATCCGGGGTTCCCGGAGCCCTGCGGCCGCGAGGGGGCAGCACAGCAGGACGGAGTTGGGAGTTTCCGTTGCTTTGTGTCTGGCTCTGGGTCCCACCTGGGACTGCCCCGGGCTGGGAATAGCACAGAGGTGCTAGTCCAGAAGGAGCCTGCAGGTGGCGCCAGAGCCCCGGCAGCTCTGCAGGTTGAGTCGGAACTTCCGGATCATCGAATCATCCCTATTACTAATGTTTTTCTCCTCCTCCAACTCTGCTTTTAAAATCTAGGTTCCAAAGGTGCCGGGAAGTCTTCTGGAACTCCTCCCTCTTTCTGCTGCCCCTCTACTTCTGCCTAAGGAGACTGGCGCAAGCAGGATGACGCCTTCACCTGGGGATGGGGACCCAGGCTCAGTGGAGGCTGGGTTTCAGGGAAGACCCACCCTCCAAGGATCCGCCCCTAGACAGTGCCTCCAGTCTGGGGGCTTGGCAAAAGACCCGGGTCTGGGACCACCGCCCTAAGCGCGCCCGCCCCCGTCACCGAAGGGAGTGGTCCTCATGCACCCCTGCCCTTCTTCCCCAGCGCTGGGCACCCAGTCAGCACTCAATAAATGTTGATGAATGGATCAGCGTCACACGAAGCCCGGTCTTGGGACAAGGTATCCTGAACTGCGCCGCTGGGGCTGTCGCGTCCCTCAGCCTCCCCATGTTAATTCTGATCTCCGCTTTCCCCAACTGCTATTTGGATTTCTGTTCGCCCTGGGGCGCTGGGGTGAGGTGCTTTGGGCCGAGAAATGGCAGCTGTGGGGTTCTGGGGGCATAGCCCCAGCCCGGCACTTCTGAGCAGAGCATACATTTGCAGCTCTGCAAATGAATCATGAATCTTGTTTCCATGACTTTGTGTTTGCAAACTTTTCTGGCCACCTCTTGCATATTGACAGGTCAGATGAGTAGAATCCACCACACTGGAGGTGGGGTCCTGATTCGAGGGAGCAATGGAGAAATAATTAGAGGTTCCCCCCATCACTGTCCTTACCTCAGACGCCCTCAGTGAATGTTTAGGTTACCATCGATGCCCCAGAAACTGGGGGCCAGAGTCACATGCTAGGCCCTTCAGAGCAAGGGAAGGACTTCTGGGTTGGGCAGGGCTGAGGGCCATAAGGAATGGGAATACGTCCTGGTCAGTTGTGCCAGACAAGGCCTTGGGCAAGGGGCACTGTGGAGGCTGTACGTGGTCAGGAGTGGGAGGGGACAGAGGTCCATCCCCACCCAGGGAGTGTGATCTGGTTCTCCGGGGGGCTTTGCTTGGGGGGATCCCCAGCCCGTCTGCCTCCTCCACCCCCAGATCTTGTTCCACCAGCCTCCAGGGGCAGCAGGTGAGAAGTGCCAGTTCACATTCCTTCCCCAATCTGAGGGCTGGCCTGAGCCTGGTCTCCACCCCCAGCCTGTGAGGTCTCCTGGGGTTGTCAGGGCAGGATTTGGACTTCCTAGAATTTGCCTTTGGCTTTTCCACTTGATCTGGGACCTGAGGAGGGCTGCAGTGAGCCAGGGATCAGAGACAGCCCTTGAAGACAGCCTACCGCCCAGGCTTAGAGAGAAAAAGGAAGGAGGAGAAAGAAGACATGAGGGAGGCCTCCTTAGCAGCGCCAAGAGTTTCACACGGGGTCAGGGGACACAGTACCCCAGCCACTCTCAGCTACCTACAGATGCTAACTGTATAAGCCAGAGCCACTGGGGCTTGAGACCCAGGGAATGGGGTGACTGGGCACATTCTGGGGGGTTCAAGGAAGGGGCTGTACATTCAGCAGGGAGAAAGGGCTGTGGGACTCAGCCACCTGAATGGGATGTCCCAGGTATAAGAAGGTGGTGGGAGGAGGGCTCTCCCGGCCTTGGCCATAGGTGTTAGGGTGCAGGAGCCACAGGCAGAGCAACAAATTAGTCTTGGGTCTGGTCCACCTAGTGGTGACCTATTTAACAGAAGCAATGTCTTCTGCAAAACGGGTTTGACAGCAGCACTTGGGACTGCTAGTGACCATGTGACCTCACTGGGGCTGTGGTGAGGCTTGGTGGGGCAGGGTGTACGCACGCTTGCCCTCGGCACCCTCCAGGCATTAGCTGTGTCTGCATCAGTAATAATTCCCACCCAGTGTTGCCTCCTAGACCAGGGCTTCTCAGCAGCTTGTCCCACAGAGGAGAGGCAAGGCCGTCTCAGCACTGAACTCCAGCTTGGACAGTCAAGATGTCTCAGTGGGCTCACTGGTCCACAGATACCTGTGTGCTGGGATCTGTACGCGTGCACATCTCTGCACATATCCACCTGCTCCAGGAGAGTCTGACACTTCGTAACGCATGGGGACCCCTGGACTCCATCTGGGAGTGGGGGCCCCCAGCAATACACCAACTTATCTTCGCAAGAAGCATGAGAAGCAGAAGGAGAAAGAGGTGGTTAGGGAGGTTTGTGGGCAGGCCATCACGGAACTGAAAATGCCTCCAACCCCAAACAACAGGTCACACGGTCTGAGGTCTAGTTAGGACATCAGTTAGTTAGGACAGTTTATTAATGGGCTTCCCAGAAGAAATGGAAATCCAGTGAAAAACAAGGGTATGACCAACAAAGGGAGCCCTTTTCTCCTCCAGGAAAGAAACAAATTCTGAACCTTTGGTAACCTCAGCTAAGGAGCTGAAATTTGCAAACTCAGATAAACATCTGGGCGGCCCTGGGCCCCTGGCTCAGAAGCAGCTGGCTTCCTGGGGCCCCAGAAGGCCTGCCACAGGGAGGAGCAGGTCCCCGCCCCACACAGCTCCTAGGGGAGGCTGCTGACAGAGGCAGGGCCTCTTGTGTTTCCCGTGGGAAGCTGACTTCCGGGTCAGCTGAGGGAAGGTTTCTGGGGCCCCCAGGACCTACATGTCAGAAAGTCAAGATAGCGGGGTGGGGGGAGCACACAGGGTCTGCAGAGGGATTGTTCCCCACTGTTCGGCAGGACATTTCTGGGGACCAGTGAGCTTGCGGGAACACACAGCACAAGCCCAGGCAGTTTGGAACTGGCTACAGATCCCTCCAGGACTGCTCCCCTCGGGGGAGGGTCCCCACCCCCTTTGCGGTGTAGGGTGTGGGGGCCTTCCCGGCTGGCTTTGCTTTCCGGTAGTAGCTGACGCGCTTGAAGGACTCCAGATCCCGGTGGGCACTCATAATCAGCCGGCTGGGTGGAAACAGGCCTGGGCTGTGTCCCACCTCACACTTAGGCACACTGGCCTGCTCACATCGGCTCGCTCACTCATGGGTACTTGGGTCACACCCACATAAGCACAAACGTGTGCACAGTCCGCATCAACCTGCTGCAGGCAGACTGTGACCCTTCTAGCCCCGCCTCAACCTGACAGCTCTGTGAAGGAGACGCTTCCCAGATGCCCCTCACCGGGGGGCCGGGCCCAACCTGGTGCCCCCAGATCACTGGTGCACCGGGCTTTCCATCACCCGCCCCTGGCCCCATCCCCTCTGCCTGTCCCGGGGACCGTAGGTCCGCAGGGCCCAGCCCAGCCCTTACTTCAGGTTGGAGAGCTCCATGACCAGGCCGCGCACAGTGTCTGTCGCATCTTCCATGCTGGCAGCTTCACAGCTCTTGATCCCCACTCGTGCCCTGGAGGGACAGGAGGCAGGACGAGAGGCCTGAGCTCACAAGAGCCTCGCCAGCCTCCACGGGGGGTCTGCTGAGCCTTGAGCTGTCTATTCCAGAGAGGAACACCTTTGACAGCAATGACGCCCCCTCCCACCAGGCAGGGCCCTGAAGGCCAACCCAGCGGCTCTACCACTGAAAGCACACCCAGAATCTACACCCTTCCCCCACCAGGTGGTCCTGTCGGGCAGCTGCCACACTCTCCTCCTCCCCCACCTCCTGCCTTTATACCCTGTGCCCCCAAGTGACTTTGGGGGGCTGTGGAAATGGAAACCCAGCCCAAGTCTCTCCCCGCAGCCCTACACCATCCGCCATGCCTCCAGACCCACCCGCTCCCTCTTGTCCCTCTTCCCCCTGTTCCAGCCACACCTAATTCCTGGCCATGCCCTTAGCACTTCTCAGGGCTCTGGAGTGTTCTTTCCAGAATGTCTCCTCTGTGGGGGTGGGGGAGGGAGAAAATGGGAGGGGAACCCTCCCTCTCCCTCCCCATCCACTACAGGTTAAAACTTTAACCCCTTCCCTGCTGTCTGCCATCTGACCAGCTAATAATCTGTCTGTCGCTCACCATCACCCCCCCAGCTCCCACCCAACTAAGGAGAAGCTCTGTGTTTCTCCCCAGTGCCCAGAGCAGGTCCTGGAAGAGCTGGCATTAGAGGGCATCAGTGCCTATAGAAGGGGTAGGCGTACCGGGGCACCACCATATCGAAAACATATAGCCTGTGAGGGGGCAGAGGATCATACAGCTTAGCAGATCTCCTGGACTGTCACTAGAGGAACTGTGGTTCTGTTCCACCTGCTTTAGTCACCGAGATGACTGGTCAGCCTGGGCCTCTGTCTCTTGCCTTTTCTCTCTTGGCCAAGGGCCACAGAACCAGACCCCAGGACCCACCTGGGGGCTTCCAGCCATCCACGTGGGGTTGCATCGAGACCGTCAGAGATTCACCCATGAATCTCTCTCTTCTTTGCTCAAACAATAGTAGGGGACTTCTCTGGTGGTACAGAGGCTAAGAATCTGCCTGTCAGTGCAGGGGACATGGGTTGGATCCCTGGTATGGGAAGATTCCACATGCTGCGGAGCCACTAAGCCCGTGTTTAGAGCCTGTGCTCAGCAATGAGAGAAGCCGCCACGGTGAGAAGCCTGTGTACTGCAATAAAGAGGAGCCCCTTCTCTCTGCAACTAGAGAAAATCTGTGAGCAGCAGGGACCCAGCACCACAAAAACAAATGTTAAAAAAAGCAATAGTGGGGCCACGTTGATTAAACTGCCTCTGGTCCCCATGCAGGGAGTGGGTGTGTGTGTCTGTCAGGGGAGCAACGTGTGGTACAACAGGTATGATACACAGATGTGTGCAGGGGCAGGGGGTGGGAGCACGGCCTCCCTCCTCCTCCGAGGAGGAGCAGGAGGAAGAGAAAGGAGACAAATTCCACCAAGGATTGCATCCCTCATCTCTCCTCCACACCTGCCAGACAGAAACAGAAACTTGGCCATAAATAATCAATCGGCCACCGCTCTGCAGTTTAAGTACAAGGTAACAGGAGAGGACTGTCGCCCAGTGCTGGCGGTCAGCAAGGCTGGGAGAAAGGACATGAAAGGAGGTGATGGACTGTGAGAGGGAAGCTCTGGGGCGGGGGGAGAGGACCCTCCCAACACACACACACCTCCATGAGGTGGAGGAACAACACACCTGCTGCCTCTAGGAGGGAGAGAAGAGGGGCTGCCTTGGGGAACAGAACCAAGTAGGAAAGAAGACGGGACAGACTGGAGACTCTGGAAGGTCCGAGGGTGCCAAAGCAGGGGTGGCCCCAAGGTTGTGCAGGCCAATGGTTCCGAGCTCTGGCTGGGTCCCCGCTCCCTCCACGGAGATTCAAGGAAAGCTCTGGACCATCTCTCCAAGAAAACACACAACGTGCATTCAGACCACCACAGAGCTGGGAGAAGCATCCCAAGGGACCTACGGAGAGATGCCAGCTTGGGTACAGGGTGTTGACTGGGAGTTCTCCAGTCCCAGGGAGCAGAGGGCATGGGAAGTTTGCAAGTGGGGGTGGGAACCTTCCTGGCAGTCCAGTGATTAAGACTTTGCATTGCAATGCAGGGGGCCTGGGTTCAACCCCTGGTGGGGACTAGGATCCCATGCCAAGTGGCATGGCTGAAAAATGAAAATGAAAAAATTGGGGGACTTCCCTAGTGGCCCAGTGGTTAAGACTCTGTGCTCCCAATGCTGGGGGCCTGGATTTGATCCCTGCTCAGGGAACTAGATCCAGCATGCTGCAACTACAACCTGGCACAGCCAAATAAATAAGAGATTCGGGGCTTAGCAACCTTACTGGACAGAGAAAAGTGAGGCCCCTCGAGGGAGAGCCAGGGTCACCTCCATCACCCTCATTCACAGAGTGGGAGCTCAAAAGGCTGGGGTGGGGGAGAGTTGGGGGCTCCAGTCCCAGGAAAGCAGCCACACTCCCCCCTTCCAGAGACAAGAGGAGGATTCCTGCCAAGGGGAAGTCCTGCGGTGCCTCCCACTCTGCCTACCTCGGCTGGGCCTCAGCAAGGGGGCCTCTGTCTGCACGTGGGTCGGTGCCAGGCCAGCAGGGGTCCAGCTCGCCTCCTGCAGGAAACAACTGGAAAAAGAGAGTGCACACACATGTGAATGACCCGGCTGGTCGGAGAAGGGAAAGGGGTCATGCAGGTCTGGCTTCTCCTCCACCATGCTGGGAAGGCTGAGGCATGCTTTCCTCCTCCAGAGGAAAAGTGGTGTGGGGAACAGATGTTGTAACAGCCAGACCTACAGGCCAGCAGTCCGGGCTGCTCTCACCCTCCTCCTCAACACTGGGCCTGGCCCTGGGGTCCTCTCCCAGGCCCCAGCCTTTGGACAAGCTGATTTGATCCACCGGTGGGTGGTTCCATCCACATATCCTCTGTCCCTGACAGCTGAGGCCTGGTGTGGTCTCAGGCCTGCCCTGCGGTATCTAGGGGGGGTCAGAGAAGACCCCGAGGGTGGTGACTGTGGTGAGGTGGGCATCTGGCATGGAGGGGCAGAGGTCAGCCAGATAAGCCCCGAGGTTCATGTCAAGGAAAAGATTTTGCAAATATATTTTGAAGGGAACATTCATAATTAACAGGGAAGAGAGAGCCAGATAACCCTGAGAAGCTTAAATTTCTAAAGGTCAATGGTGGTTTAATTTTCATGGAAAATGTCAGGCTCAGTGGCTCAGTGGTGCAGGTGACGGCTCTTTGATTCTTTGGAGCGGCTGGTCCAGGGCTGTCTGTTCTTCTGAGGAGACCCAAGTCCTGGGTGGGGGATGGGGTGAAGGGTTTGAGCTCAACCTACCAAGGGTCCCGGGATACAAAGGAATGGACATGAAGAACTGTCTGCAGCCCAGCGGCTCTCACTCGGGAATGACTCTACTCCCAAGACATGTCATCATGTCTGCAAACATTTTGGGTTGTCACACCTTTGGAAGAGGGTGCTCCTCATGTTCAGAGTGTGGAGGCTGGAGGCCAGGGATGCTGTTCAACCCCCTTCCATGCACAGGACGGCAGTTGGGCCCCTAATGCCAGCAGTGCCAAGGTTGGCACGACTGTTCTAGACAGTGGTTTCTCCCATGCGCCTGGCTGACTCTCACAGAGGTAACTCTGTGACTTAAAATACAATTCAGGGACTTCCCTGGTGGTCCAGAGGTTAAGACTCTTCGCTCCCCATGTAGGGGGCCCGGGTTTGATCCCTGATCAGGGAACTAGATTCTGCATGTCACAACTAAGACCTGGCACAGCCAAATTAAAAAAAAAAATTCGATGCCACAGATTCACCTAAGATAGGTCATAAAGAATATTCTTCCCAACAGGGACCATGGCTCCCACCAGGGTTGTGTAAAAGTCTGTCATGACAAAGGTAGTGCTTGTGCTGGAGGTACAGCAGCACACCTTCCCCCCTTGGAGGCCACCCATGGGGGCCACGAGAGGGACCTGGGAGCCGATGTTTTAAATGAGGCCCTCTTTACGAGTGGAGGGGCTCCACCAGCCCTGGGGTGAGCATCATGTCCCCAGGGAGCCAGGATAAGGGGGCAGCTGGGTTTGCAGCCTGTCTGTCACTGCTGCGAGTCCCCAGGGCCCCTCCTCAGCAGCGGAGCTCACAGCTGAGCCCGCTGAGGTCACGGGCCGAGAAGCCATCCACCAGCACTCTGTTCCCACAGGGCCTTCCTGCCAGGGAGGGCTCCTGCCTTCTGGAACCTTCCCACGGGGACTTGTGCTCAGGTCGCCACGACTTGTTCAGGAAGGCCCGGCGTCAAAACAGAACACGCCTGGGCATCCGCGGCCTTGTCAGGGCAGTGCCTCCTCCCGCAGCAGCCCGTCCACCCTGGGCACTGCTGGCTCTGTGGTGATTCCAGAGTGCGCTCGCTGGTGGCACATCCACCAGGGCTCTCCTGTGCCTGCGAGATGCCACCCAAGGTCCCAGCTGCTTCCCCAGCCCTCTCCCTCAGCCATGGCCCAAGAGGCCAGAGACTGGGGCTGACCAAGCTCTTCTTTCCAAGAGAGGGGTGTGCATTTTTCAAGGGCTGGGGCTTTAATTACAACTTTTCAGCTCTGTCCAGAACCTGAGTGCCTACCTCTCCCAGGCGTCTGTGTTTAAAGGCTACAATCTAGCCACACTGTGACTCATTTTTTGTAATCTTGCTTGCCTGGTGATCACAGAGCGGTACAAGGAATCAGAGCCAGGGCAGGGAGACCTGTGTCACAAACGACCCCTGGCCATCCCTTGGGAAGGCAGTGCCTGAGACCCACATTTCCTCAACCCAGACATGGTTTCCCTCCACGGCTGGAACAGCTGGCTTCCTCCAGCTGGGCACCAGATGACGTCCTTTGCTTGTTTGGGGGCTGCGTCTCAGGAAGAGACTATTTAAGGGCAGAAATGACAGGGTACAAAGTGCTCACTCTGGGAGAAGCAGATGGAATGGCGCTACTGAAAACCTCATGGGGGCAGAGACCATCCAGATCTGTTTACTCCTGGCACAGAGCAGGCTCTCAAACCTCAAGACATTTTCAAACAGGCGACTTCCCTGGTGGTCTGGTAGATAAGACTCCACACTCCCAATGCAGGGGGCCCAGGTTCAATCCCTGGTCGGGGAACTAAGATCCCACATGCTGCAACTAAGCCTAAGTAACCCAACTAGAGAGCCTGCATGACACAACGAAGACCCAGAGCAGCCAACATAAATAACAAATTAATAAAAATTGAAAAAAAATTTTTCACACACACCAAAAATCAAGTTTTAAAACAGGGATGACAAAAATAAATAAATAAATAAATAAAATAAAATAAAACAGGGATGGCCAAAGAAACGGAGGCCACGTTTGTGAAGTGACATGGGCTCTGTGTTGGTTCCAGGTCAGAACAGTTGAGGCACAGTCATGGAATCAGGCCACCTGGGAGTGACTCCCTCCCAGCTGCCTCATCAGGGCAGGTGCCCAACCTTCGTCAGTCTCTCAGCCGCACCCAGTGTGTGGAAAGAGAACCGCCCACCTCTGAGCGTGAGTCCACAAAGCACTTAGGCTCAGGTGTGCTGGCTGCTGCCAGGGATGTGATGCCTACTGGGCGGCGGGGCCAAAGTGGGGTTGCCACCTGCCCAGACAGGTGTCCGCCCACGGCCAGCACAGGCTCAGTGGGCAGACCCCCGAAGGAAAGCCCTTGCAAATGCCAGCAGACAGGACTTCCCTGGTGGATAAGAATGTGCCTGCCAATGCAGGGGACATGGGTTCGATCCCTGGTCCAGGAAGATCCCACATACCATGGAGCAGCCGAACCCACGCTCCACAACTACTCAAGCCCTCGAGCCCTAGAGCCCATGCTCAGCAACAACTGAGAAGCCCTCACACTGCAACAGCAAAAGAGTAGCCCTCACTCGCTGAGAATTAGAGAAAGGTCGTGCAAAACCAGAGAACACCCAGTGCAGCAAAAAATATAAATAAATGAAAAGATGCTAACTGTCATCTGACAACAGAGTTGCCCCAAATCTTCAATTTGTAAAAAAAAAAAACAAAAAACAAAAAACTCAGTATCTGCAAAGCACAGTAAGTGAAAAAAAAAAAAAATGCCAGCAGACAAACGAAAGTCCATGTATATGTTTGAAAAAGAATGGTTATCAGGTGACCCTAAAGATGGACAGAGGTTCTTCCCAGTGGGGGAGTGAGCTCCCCTCCCATGGGCCCAGTTTTGAGGCCACTTGCTTCTTCAGGTAGGCCCTTTTGGGCTGGTGCCTTCTAGACACCCCTAAGGAATCTCCAGGCAGAGCCTGGGCACTGAGGAGTGCAGGACGCAGGTAAACCGGGGGCACTGCCTGGGCCAAAAAAACGTGTGTATCATGCCCCGGGGCTCCTCAGCTCCCAGACGGACAGGCCCCTCAGAGAAAGGCAGGTCTAACCTTCCCAGGACATCGCTGACTCCACACCCACTGAAGCTGTGACTCAGACCCCAGGACTCATCTGCTGTATAAACAGGTCACCACGTGCCCCTCTTCCCCCGACTACTGGATGGTTTGGGAGGGCTCCTGGCCATCTGGTGCCTGCCCTGAGGCATGTGACTGTAACTCGGGGAAGCTCTTACCTGCTCCGGTGGGGCTTCAAAGCCAGGGGCTTCCAGGGCATCCTGTATTTGGCTGTCTGGCAGGAAGTCGAGTTCCATGGCTGGTGACCCCTCCCAGATGGCCTGCTTGGAAGAGTCAGCAGGGCGCCGGGGCTGGCCTATGGGGCTAGTGGGGGTGTCTGGGCTGCTCTGGCCTGCCCCAGCATCCTGGGGAGGGCCACCCACTGCTTCTTGGTCCATCGGCGCAGCACACGCTCTGGGGGACAAACTGAGCCCCTTGAGGTCCTGCTTGTGGCTCGGGATCCCTCGCTCAGCTGCCTTTTCCCCTGTATGTTGTGACAGCCAAGGCTGCGAGCACACACCTCCCAAGCCCTCCTGATCCGGGCCTGGCACCTGACTCTGACCACCATCTGGGCCCATTTCTAAGGCTGAAGGGCTGGGGTCCCCAGCTCCTAGTGTGGGTTCTTGGGTCTCATGAGGCAGAGGCAGGGAGGCTGCAAAGCACCCCAGGATGTCACCAGGGGGCTTGTCTTCCCACTGTGCCTCTCCTCTGCCTCCACTGGTCGCCCCAGTGAGAGACGTGCAGCTGAGCAGGGCCCTGCTGTGACCTGCGTCGGGCGCCTTCCCGCTGGGGGAGGTGGGCACCCTGGTGCCGACCTCCCCATCTGGCCCAGCCCCCCTCAGAGCCCTGTGTTCTGGCTCAGCAGGGTCTGTGTTCACATCTGCGATGACAATGGTCCCAAGTGGAGGGCACCGAGGGCCGCTCCAGCTCCACTCTGCTTCCCTGCCAAGGGTCTGCAGGGGGCGAGGAGGGCCCAGGAGGCTACCTCCTTCCTCCCGCTGCCCCTCAAGTAGATCAGCCCCTGCTAGCCCTCGGGTACCTCCCTGCTGGGGGGCTTCTCGCTCTGGCTCTGTCTCTCCAGCATCACTGCCTGGCAGGGGCCCTTTCTGGCCGTGATTGCCTGGAGCCCAACCCTCCTCTGTGCTTCCACCCTTGGGCACACCGGTCCTAGGCTCTGACAGGTGGTCCTGGCCAGCCCTCTCTGAGGCAGAGGGCACCTTCCCCGACTCTGGGGAGGCGCTGGTGGAGACTGAGGGTTGAGGACCCGCATCACTGGGCCCAGGGGTCGCGGGGCTCAGGCCACTGGGCTCGGTGCAGGGGCCATCTGCCTGGGTCTGGTGTCCTGCGTCCCTGGCCTCCTGGAGGGCAAGTCCTGGGGACTCATCCTGAGGCTGGCTTCTGGTCTGCTGTGCACTGAGTTCTGGCAGAGTTCCCTGTGGAGAGAGAAAGACTCAGCCTTGGGCCTTCAATAATCAACTGCTCTGAAGACTTTTCTAGTCACCACTGCCCCTGTATGAAGCCTCAGATGCCACGAGGAGGACAGTGCACAAAACAGGGATCTGTGCTGATCCTGGGTGGGTTTCCCAGGTGGCTCAGGGGTAAAGAATCTGCCTGCCAATGCAGGAGACGTGAGTTCAAGGCGAATGCTGCTGCAGTGAACATGGATATACAAATATCTGTTTTGTTGTATGGATGTTACCCATGTTTTGTTTAATTCATTCATCCCTCGACAGACATGTGTGGTCATACGGTTTTTACAACTTCCTCTGAATCTACTTAATGCCCTGGAAATCCATCCAAGTGGTTATGTGTTTTACACTAGTTTGCTCCTTTTTCGGGAAATCGATGAGTTGTGTTCTGTGGTGTGAATGGACCACGACTTGTTCAACTATTCACCCGCTGAAAGATATGTGGCTTGTTTCTAGTCTGGGGAAATTACAAACACAGCTTCTGGGAACGCCCACCAATCACTTTTTAGGGGAGTGTGTTCCAGAGACAGCGATCATGATCCCCAGAGCTCACAGGGGTAAGGACAAGACAGCATGCTGTAAGAATCCCCTTGATTCATGCAAAAGCTTCTGAGAAGCAAAGGGGTTTAGGGACAGAAATGCGGGCTGCCTTTCTTAATTTATTTTTAATTGGAGGATAACTACTTCATAATATCATGTTGGTTTCTGCCATACAACAATGTGAATCAGCTCTAACTATATATATATATATATATATATATATATATATATATATATATATATATATATATATATATATATATATCCCCTCCCTCCTACCTTGTCCCCCATCCCAGCCCTCTGGGTCATCACAGAACACTGAGATGAGCTCCCTGTGCTATACTCGGGCTGCCTTTCTGAATTTCAATACTTTCACCCAATTCGGGGCACAGAGCTCTGGCCTCTACAGTTTCAGTGCAGGCACGCTGCCCTGAGCGCCTCTCAGGCCTGCAGGCTGCTGACACAGCCCCTGCTGTCCACAGATGCCTTTAGTGCTAAATATGGTGGTGGGGGGGTGTGGAGAGGTGCAGAATTGTGTGCAAGTTCAATTGTGTCTGACTCTTTGCGACCCCATGGACTATAGCCCGCCAGGCTCCTCCATCCATGGGATTTCCCAGACAAGAATACTGGAGTGGGTTGCCATTTCCTTCTCCAGGAGATCTTCCTGACCCAGGGATCAAACACGCATCTCCTGCATCTCCTGCATTGGCAGGCAGGTTCTTTACCACTGAGCCACCTGGGAAGCCCAGTCATTGTCAAAGGAAAACAAGGCTGAATTTGGCTGCTGAGGTGGGGCCAAGAGGCGGGACACCTACAGGGCGCAGCCTGGCTGATGGTAGGACCTTACCGAGCTGAACACCCCCGTCCCAAGGCCCTCTGCCCTCCTCTCTGCTTGTCTCGTCACTGTCTTCCTGGGTTTTGCAAACTGGGGGACGAACCTCCCCACTGAGTTCTGTGAACCAGATACAACAAGAACAAAACAGCAGTAAAGATAAAGGAGGAATGAGGTCTTGGAAATCAAGCGCGAAAACCCCAAAACCGGTTTCTGCCTTGTAGTCTGTGCCTTCCAGCCCCAGCACACACTCCCACCCGCAGCTGCTGCTGCTGAACACAGACAAGCTCTCCAGCATCTTTTGTGCCTGTGTAAGGCTACAGAGCAGGCTCACCTGGGAAGGAGGAAGGGGAACTGGCTCCTTTTCCGGCTGCCCAAGGAGCCTGGAGGGAGCATCTGCTTCATTATCAGGAGAGCTGGAAGGAGAAAGACAAAACAGAGGAGGTTCTCAAGTCCTCCTACACGGTTAACTTGTGTAGTGAGACAAACAATGGAACCCACAGGCAGAGAGAGTAGTGCTCAGCGTCTCCAAAGAGGGCGGCCCTGCAGCACCTGCTGAGAAAGGGCGGGGTGGAGAAGGGGATGCATGCCTGCCAACAAGCGTTTGGAGTCCCACGCCTAGAAGCCAAGCTGCCTTCTCTGGCAGCACTTTACTCTTATAATCCCAGGAACTGGCTCCTGGAATAAGAACAGGAATTCTCATTTGGACTGACATCCCAGCCCCCAATTCTACAAATGCTAAAAAGCTGCAGATACAAAAAAAAAAAAAACCACAGTGTCTAAAAAAACGGATGTATTCATAATTGCCAAAATGTGGAAGCAATTGAGAGGCCCTCAGAGGGTGAATGGATAACTAAACTGTGGTGGGCCTTTCCTGATGGTCCAGTGGTAAAGAATCTGCCTGCCAGCGCAGGGGACACCGGTTCGAGTTCTGGTCTGGGAAGATCCCACATACCGAAGGGGACAAGAGGCCCATGTGCCACAGCTACTGAGCCCCTGATTTAGAGCCCGAGAGCTGTGATTACTGAGCCCATGTGTTGCAAGTACTGAAGCCCATGGCTCCTAGAGCCTGTGCCCTGCAACAAGAGAAGCCACTGCAATGAGAAGCCCACACCATAACTAGAGAGTAGGCCCTGCTCTCCACAACCAGGGAAAGCCCACGCACAGTAACAAAGACCCAACCCAGCACGGCCAAAGACAAATATATAAATAAAATAATTTTCAAAATAAATAAACTATGGTCCATAGAGACAGTGGGACAGCATCCAGTGCTAAGAAACAAGCTCTCCTCTACTCAATGCTCTGCAATGGCCTATCTGGGAAAAGACTGAAAAAGAGTGGACGTGTGCACAACTGACTCACTTTGCTGTACACCTGAAACTGACACAACACTGTAAATCAATCAGACCCCAGTAAAAAAATCTGAATTAATTTCTGACCACACCCCAAGGAATGTAGAACTTCCTGGACTAAGGATTGAACCGGTATCCCCTACACTGGAAGGGTAGAGTCTTAACCACTGGACCACCAGACAAGTCCAGAACAAAATTATGCCATCTGCTTTATAAAATAAAATCTAAAAAAATAAACGAGCTCTCAAGCCTTGAAGATATGTGGAGATACTCTAAATGCATGTTACCATGTGAAAGAAGCCAATCTGAAAAGGCTATGTACTGTATGATTCCAATGATATGATATTCTGGAAAGGGCAAACTATGAAGACAGTGGAAAAGATCAGTGGTTACCCAGGGTGTGGTGAAGGGAAAATGAATAGACTAGGATTTTTATGGCTGTGAAAGAACTCTGCATGATGTTGTACTGATACATGTTATTATTCCTCTAGTCAAACCCACAGAGTGTACAATACACAGAATGTAAACTTTGGGGCTTCTCTGGTGGTCCAGTGGATAAGAATCCACCTGCCAATGCAGGAGACCCAGGATCAATCCCTGGTCCTAGAAGATCCCACATGCTGCGTGGCAACTAAGTCTGTGTGCTGCAGCTTCTGAGCCTGTGCTCTAGAGCCGGGGAGCTGCAACTACAGAAGCCCGCATGCCTTACAGAACATGCTCTGCAACAAGAGAAGCCACTGCAATGAGAAGCCCATGCACCGCAACTACAGAGGAGCCTCTACTTGCCACAACTAGAGAAAAGCCTGTGCAGCAACAAAGACCCAGCACAACCAAAATTAAACAATAAAAAAAATTTTAAAGTAAACTATGGACTGTGGGTAATTAGCATGTGTCAGTGTAGGTTCAGTTCAGTTCAGTCATTCAGTCGTGTCCGACCCTTTGCGACCCTGTGGACTGCAACATGCCAGGCTTCCCTGTCCACATGTCAGTGTAGCTTCATCCTTGGTTAAAAAAAAATGTACCATTCTGGTGAGTGATGGCGGTCACGAGGGATGTGGGAGGGCAGACAGTATATCAGAAATCACTGTACCTTCCTCTCAATTTTATTGTAAACCTAAAACTGCTCTAAAAAAAGTCTTTTTTAAAAACTGGTGAGACTTACAGTTATATCCAAGTAAATGTGGATATGTATACTGTAAAAAAAAAAAATCCGACTCTGGAACTGAAACTTCATGATTTCAACTTTAGAAGTGGAGCAGGATAAAGCATGAAGCTACGCTAATGGGCTTGGATCATGCCAAGGGAGGTTATGGAGACAGAATAAGTCTAGATACTGATAGCAACCGTCTGCTCAAAATTTTTTAATTGGGATGGGTTGTTTGGGCGGCTTCTGGGGTACTGGCAAGATTTCATTTCTCAACATAAATGTGCTAGGCTGATTGATTTATGTTGCTTTTTTTCTGCTACATTTGTGCACAGGCGGTATTTCTTAATAAAACATTAAAAAAACAGAAACAAAGGAGTTGGAACCCACTTCTGCGGGTTCTGATTATTCTTATGGACTCAGACAGCAGGGTGGACAGCGGCCAGGACCCCATCAGCCCTGATGGCCTCTATGGGGTGAAGGACATGGTGACAACGTCATGTGTGTCTGGGAGGATGGCTTAGCTGTGACACGTGGCCCCTCTCTTCCTATCACACATGCAGCTTTAGCCCTAAGACTGCCAAGACCTGAGATTAGACACGCACCCCAGAAAATGGTCCTATCAGCCGGACTGCATGCCTTACTTTTTCATGCAGAAAATGTGCTATACCAATCCACAGCGCTTTCTCTGAAGACACTGGACAGCAGGAACTTTCCTTCTCCCAACTCCTAATAACCCTTTCTACTTAGCTGCAGTTACATATGGCTTACCCCCACGGAGACTAAATGGTTCTCCAGAAATTTCCTTTCTTCCCACCGTGTTTAATTACATATTTCTTGAAAATATATGAGAACTGGGAAGCCATAGTAGTGAACAGCACAGGAACCAGACGAAGCCAGAACCGCAGCCCACCCTGTATGAGCTTAGTGGCCCTGGGTAAGTCATTTGATTGCTTGAACCCTCAGAGTCCTCATCAATCAAATGGGGTTAAAAACCTGTGTCACGGTGCCATGAGGATTAAATAAGCGAATGTGTGTAAAGTATATTAGCACACTGCCTGGAACATAAAGATGCTTAATCCTCTCTTATGTGTTATTATTTCACAGACCCACAACTCCTTCAGTCACCTCTTCATTAAGAAGGAATGTGGGAGGACTTCCCTGGTGGCACACTGGGTAAGAATTTGCCTGCCACTGCAGGGGACACAGGTTCAATCTCTGATCCAGGAAGATTTCACATGCCATGGGGCAACTAAGCTTGTGCACCACAACTGCTGAGCCTGTGTGCCACAACTACTTATGCCCGCATGCCTAGAGCCTGTGCTCCACAACAAGAAAAGCCTCTGCAATGAAAAGCCTATGTACTGCAAAAAATGTAGCTTCCGCTGTCTGCAACTGGAGAAAGCCCACACATAGCTACAAAGACGCAATTCAGTCAAAAATAAATAAGTAAATAAGAAATAAATAAAATTTAATTAAAATATATATATATATATTGACTTTTCTCACTAGAGAGGAGCCTCTAGAGCAAAACGTCAAGAAGTTCAATCCAAGGGCCCTGAGCCCCTGTGGGGGAGGCACAGACTGGCTGGGCCATATGAACTGGTCCCCCGTCCTTTGCACCCTGCCCACTAGGTCACTGTGCTGTGCCCACTGTCAGCGGAGAGGCTTGCTGGATATTCTGAGCCACCTACCTGGAGGCTGCCTGTCCTGGTTCCTCCCCACTCTGCTCTGCAGAGGGAGTGAGTCCTGATCCGCCTTCTGATTCTTCAGGGTGATGCAAATAGTCTAACATGGAACTCTGGCTGGTGGCCCTGTCAGAGTCTTCTATCCTTGGGTTCTTTGGAAGTTTCGGAAGATGGAGTCCTTGCCTTCCTGGTGTGGAGACAAAAGAAGATTAAGGGGGCCTCCCTTCATGGTGGTCCAGTGTTTAAGAATCTGCCTGCTAATGAGGGGAACACAGGTCCAAACCCTGCTTTGGGAAGATCCTACGTGTCACATGGCCACTATTGACAGAATTAGGATAAATTGCAGGAAAGTCAGTGTGCTCTAGTGAAACCCAACAAGAGAAACCACCACAATGACAAGCCTGTGCACTGCAATGAAAAGCAGACACCGCTTGCTGCAACTAGACAAAGCCCTCACGCAGCAGTGAAGACCCAACACAGCCAAAAATAAATAAATGAAAAGAAAAAAAAAGAAATGAAGGGGTAGGGAGACAGTGGGAGCACACACTGCCATAACCAACAGCCAAACACATCCGGGTTGCTGATGCAACATGAGCAGGCTGTGCAAAAGGCAGGAAATTCCTGCTCTGACGCTTGCTTGGAGAGTGAGAGATGGGATGGACTGTCATCCAGGTGGGACCCAAGAACTTATGGGGCCATGGGATTCAAAGACTTTTAACTTGTGGTCTGGTCATGACAGACGCTGAATCCTGAGTGACCTGGCCTGGCTCAGAATCACAAGACAACCTGTCCAGCTGACTGTTTCTCCGGGGAAGTGGTGAGAGGTGTGTGCTGGTTGCCTTGGATCTCAGCTCAAATTGTCCCTACAGAGGGGCTTTTTTTTTTTTTTTTGGTGAGAGGACATGCGGGATCTTAGTTCCCCAACCAGGGATCAAACCTGTGCCCCCTGTGGAAACACAGTCTTAACCACTGGGTCACCAGCGAAGTCCCCAGAGGAGTCATTCTTGCCCTTTCTATAGAGCAACTCCTCTAGGAGCCACGCTCTGTTGTATTCACTTTACATCTTTTCTGCAGGTGTCCAATATACTGGGTCATTTACTGTCTCCTCCACTACAACCTGTCCATGCAAGGAGGGGCCTCATTTATCTCACTCTCTGCTGGGTTTCAAGTGGCTAGATGAGCATCTGATAAACTGTTGGTGCTCAATAAATGGGGCTTCCCTGACAGATCAGTTGGTAAAGAATCCACCTGCAATACAGGAGACCCTGGTTTCATTCCTGGGTTGAGAACCGCTCAATAAATATTTGGAAGATGACTGAATAAATGCATGAGAAAATCCAGATCACCTCCCAGAAAATGCAGATGACATTAAATTTTAAGTACCACTCTGGTTTTCCATGATGCTTGCAGAATATCCAACCTGGGAAAGCTGGGACCCAGAGTCATCGAGCAGTAAGGAGGTGACTTCTCGGCTCGGTTGCCTCTTGGTCCCTGCTACATCCCTACAAATACCTTTCCCATCACTGAAAGCAATTCAGAGCCTACAGGTGCTTATTAACATCTATTTGTTTAATGAAGGAAATTCCCTTATATAGAAATTGCCAATAGTGGCTGACTTGTCAGAAAGCTCCAAAATCTGGCCCCAAATGAACCATTTATCCAATGAACAAATAATAAGGGTTGACTCTAGTTCAGTTCCATGCCAGACACTGTCCTGAGGACTCAGGCATGTTATGGTAAAACTTCAAGATAGAGTCTTCATGTTATGCCCACATTACAGATGAGCAAGCTGAGGCATGGGGAGACCAAAGACTCTGAAATGGGATTCAGGCAGTTCAGCTCCAGAGCCTTCACGCTAAAGTGTTCCTGAACACTCACTGGACATCTACTATGTACTGCATCTCTGACCAAGCAGTGAGAACAAAAAGACAAACCAAACCCAGGTCTGATTTTTCTGGAGGTTGTCACAAAGACATTTCTAAACTCAGCTCCTTATATTGTTGTTCAGTTGTGTCCGACTCTTTGTGACCCCATGGATTAAAGCATGCCAGGCTTCCTTGTCCTTCACCATCTCCTGGAGCTTGCTCAAACCCATGTCCATTGAGTCAGTCACGCCATCCAACTATCTCGCCCTCTGTCGTCCCATTATCCTCCTTATATATCTTAAAGTAAACCCACTGAGAGTTTCCCAGGTAGCTCAGTGGTAAAGAATCCGCCTGCCAATGTAGGAGATGCTGGTTTGATCCCTGAGTCAGGAAGATCCCCTAGAGAAGGAAATGGCAACCCACTCCAGTATTTCTTGCCTGGGAAATCTCACTGACAGAAGAGCCTGGAGGGCTACAGTCCATGAGGTTGCAGAGTTGGACAGAACTAAAACAACAACAAATCCATTGAATGAGCTCCCTCCCTCCAACACTGAATGCTAGGGTCCTCCTCAGCATCCATTTGGCTTTTTGGGTTCCACTAGACCACACTGACTTTCCTGTAATTTCTCCTAATTCTGTCAGTTACAGTTCACATGGGCCTATTTAGAACTTTACCCCACTGCTGTGTATTTGATTAGTTCCCCTGGTTGAGAAGCATTTTTCCTTTCCCGCTAACTGGACTTTGAAGGTATCAACTGCAGGATCTAAATCTCATCTTGATCTCATCTTCACCATGCTTCCCACCCCCTTCCCAGTGCTCTGGCACTGCACCCAGAGCAAAGTTCCAATGAGTTTCTTATACAAACACATTTCCACTTTGTGGTCTGCCAGGAAATGCAAAAATATAGCAGCTTCATTTGTTTAGTTTCTTAAGAAGCCAAAATACTAGCTTGCTTTGCTCATCCAATGGACATTTATTAGTACCAAATAAAAACCAAAAATACCAACAGGAGTAAAGAGGCTCCCATTTTCTTCCTGTGATCTATCCCCACAGGATTAATTTAAGAAAATCGAAAGCAGAACCTTGTGTTCAATACTAAAGGCCAAAGACATCAGGAGGGAAAGGCTTCTTTCACCACCTGCCAGAATCGTCTTTCTTTTTCCCCACCCATCCAGGACACACAGAAAGAACTCTCCTGGGCCAGCCCAGGGTCCACTGAGCTGAGGAGTCCACTGCCAAGAGAGGCCCCGAATGACCTGCTGTGGGTGGCCCTGGCTGGCCCCAGCTTCCCCCTCCAAGGTCACAGAAATTCCTATGCCTCCAAGCAGCTTGTTACTCATCTCTGCACAAACACCTTTTTTTTTTTTTTTTTAATAATTCTATTTATTTATTTTTGGCTGTGCTGGGTCTTTGTCCCAGCTTGGGCTTTTCTCTAGCTGTGGTATGAAACCTTCTCACTGCAGTGGCTTCCCTTTTCACAAAGCACAAGCTCCAGGGCACACAGGCTTCAGCAGTTCTGGCTCCCAGGCTCTAGAGTGCAGGCTCAGCAGTTCTGGTGCAGGGGCTTACTTGATCCACGGCATGTGAGATCTTCCTAGACCAGAGCTCGAACCCGTCTCTTGCACTGACAGGCAGATTCTTTACCACTGAGCCACCAGGGAAGCCCTTACACTAAACATCTTTGATCTGTTGATTTCTTTCCTGCCCTACATCCTATTCTTGAAGTTCATTAGCCACTAGGTGAAGGGGTCATTCCTAAATTTTTAAGAAATTTAAATTCCTTAGCCAATGACAGGGGAATGGAGCTATACTACATAACACTGGATGTCTTCCTTCTGAAGGAGGCAATTCTCTATGTATATTGAGAAGTAAAGATGATCTTGAAAACCCATGAAGTTGAAAATCAGGAGGTTGCAGGTCAGTATGTTGATGATTATATTTATCCAATAAAAACACTGTATTTGTGTATATAAAGAAAAAGTCTGGAAGAAGTAGGGTACTATTTCCTATTTTTTATGCTACACGATATGGTTGATCCAGGCTTCCCTAGTGGCTCAGCGGTAAAGAATCCGAGCGCCAATGCACAAGACATGGGTTTGATCTCTAGGTCTGGAAGATCCCCTGGAGAAGGAAATGGACACCCACTCCAGCATTCCTGCCTGAGAAATCCCATGGACAGAGGAGCCTGGGGGGCTACAGTTCATGGGGTTGCAAAAGAGTCAGACACAACTGAGTGACTAAACAACATGGTTGACCATCATCCTATGGTTGTGGGGGGCTTTAACATTAGCAGAAGTTGAGCAAAGGGTAGAGGGAACTCTGGAATGTTTTTACAACTTTTCTGTAAGCTCAAAATTGTTTCAAAATGAAAAAAAATCTGAAAGGACAATCATAACAGCAGCATATATTTGTGTCCTGCCATGGGTCTACTTTCAGTGCTTTACAAATACTAATTCACATGTGAGCTCTAGGGCAAAGTTCTCAACTTTGGCACTATTGACATTTGGGGTACTACTGACATTTGGGGCCAGGTCATTCTGTGCTGTGGGGGCTGTCCTCTGAATGCTATAATTTTGAGCAGCATCTCTGCCCTCGACCCCTGAAATGCCAGTACCTCCCACCCACCCACCCAAACACACCAGCTGTAAAACCCTAGAGTGTCTCTAGGGACTTCCCTGGTGGTCCAGTGGTTAAGACTCCTGCTCCCAATGCAGGGGATTCAATCCCTGATCAGAGAACTAGATCCCACTAGCTCTGTGAACCCAGGGGCCACAACTGAAAGATTCCACATGCCGCAATTAGGACTTGGCACAGCCAAATAAATGAATAAATACTTAAAAAAAAATCTCCAGATATTGCCAAATGTCCTCTGGAATCAAACTGCTCCCTGCAACAGGTTGAGAATCACTGTTCTAAAGGACAGGGTAGGGAGGTGGGAGGGAGGTTCAAGGGAGGGGACAGACATATACTTATGGCTGACTCATGTTGATACACAGCAGAAACCAACACAATATTGTAAAGCAATTTTCCTCCAATTAAAGATAAATTTAAAAATATTTTTAAAAGAAAATAAAGGAAATGGTATGTGCTCTTTATTATCCCCTACCTACAGGAGGAAAATGAGACAAAGAGTAAGTTATCTGCCATCATACAGGGAGATGAACGTAGGTTTTTTGCTCAAGTCACATACCAGCATCAAGCTCTATTCATGGGTCATCTCTGAGAGTGGACCCGCATAGAAGCTGCACCCCTCCCTGAAGCCTGCAGGCCTCCCCTAGGCTGTGGGATCCCACTACAGGCTGGAGGAAGCTCCACAAAGCTTTCACTTTTTACTATAAGCACTTCTCCATAACTTACACTTGCACTAAGTCATCATGTGTATTAAATCATTGCTGTTATTTTAAGGAGCTTGGTGTGGTCACATTAGGGGTAAGAATAAGCCCACATTCCTCCTAAAAGCAGAAGCAGCAATAAAGATGTGTCAAGTTGATCGTCCAAATACCTGAGGTCCGAAGCTTCTTCCTCTTACTCATTTTATCTCTCCCTAGAGAAATCTGAAAACAAGGAGCAAATCTCATCATTACAAGCAGTTTCTATCTCTGGGTTACAGGACCCAGCAGCCTTGGCTGAGGCCACCCCTCCCCCACCTAGACCCATCTGGCTGCCCCAGGGGTCAACAGAGCCCTAAGAGGGCAGAGGGTGGGGATCATAGCTACCTTGGGCTATCGCGGCATGAGAATTTAAATTCCTCCATGCTGCAGAGAGGGAACTGCCTATTTTCTGCCCAGGATCTGAGAGCACCTGGGCCGGGGTATGGCCCCTCTAGTCTCTAAGATGGGGCAGCCTATGTGAAGCTCCCTTCCTCCAGGCTGGGGTACTTGGGACCTTTCCAGGGACACCCTAGGATTTTCGAGGTGACACATGGGGCCCTGCAGGGTCATCTGAGGGCGTTAGAGGGGACACCTGGGGACCTTTCAAGGGATGGGGAGGCCCTTTGGAGGATGCCTGGGGCCTTGGGGGAGGCCGGAGTCGCCACCACACATCCATTCCTTTCAGCCTAGGAGCCAGACAAGCCCAAACTGACCTGGGCCAGAGAAGCTGTCGAGGTCCCTCTGTCGTTACTAGGAACTGGGAAGGTCTACCTGGATCTGCTGGGGGATCATTCGGTTAAATTATTTCTGTAAGGTTTTTTTTTTTTTAAACAATTACAGGCAAAGTTGGCCCTCACGGAAGCCGGGCAGCTCGAGGTCTGAGGCCCGAGTGCTGTGGACCTGGTTTCTGGTGACCAGGCCCATCCTAACCCTAACCTGGGCGTCGAAAGTGAACACTGTCTAAACCAGGAGAGACCAGAGCTCGCAGGTGAACCGGCCACACCAAGAACCCAGCGGCCGCCACCACCCCTCACACCTGCAATCGCTCCGCCTCTTTCCCGCGCACAACGAGGCCCTGCTGCGCACGCGCTATGCCGGAACCTCCCTTCTCCACTTGCGCACGCTCCGCCTCTTTCCCGCGCAACCGGCGACACCGCCCATCACCGGAAACGCGCCTGCGCACTCGCGCACTGCCTGCCGGGAATTGTAGTTTCTGTGTTGTGGGCCCGGCAAGTCCAGTGGCTGCGCTCCGGTGCCGCGGCGCCCGAGGGCCGAGGCGGAAGTGGGGCAGCCACCTGGGGGCCGAGGGCGTGGGGTCGGCGGTCTCGGGGCGCCGACAAGGGGCGTGGGACTCAGGAAAGGTGCGTGCGCGGCCATAGGCCCCGGGGGAAGAGGCAGGGCAAGGCCAGGCCAGGGGTCCAGTGGTCCGAGTAGCCAGCCAGGAAGATGCACAAGAGGAAGGGACCCCCGGGACCCCCGGGCCGAGGCGCCGCCACCGCCCGCCAGGTGAGTCTGTATCCCATGGCCCCGCCGAGGTATCCCATCCCACCCTTGTCATACGTTCAAGGGAGGGCCCCACCCCCCAAGGGAACCTGCGCTCCAGTCCCAGGTGATCCCGCGTCCCCGCCCCCTAGGTTAGGTTCGACCCCCACAGTAAGGCCTGTTGGCCCGGGCTTCCCAGCTCCTGGCGCCCCGCCCAGGGCTCAGGGCCACCTGTTGCAGTAGCAGCGCCAGTCGGGGAGGGGAAGGCCTCGAACCTGGGATAAGAAAAACAGTTATGGCTTTCCTGGACTGAGCATTCGTGGAACCCTCGCATCAGCTTGGCCAGGTCATACTTTTTTATCCCCATTGTACTGATGAGGACACTGAGGCCCAGAGAGGCGAAGACACCTGTCCAAGGTCATAGGGATCAACTGCTTGGCCAGAGCTAAGGGCAAATCCCGACTGCCTGCCATGAGCCCACAGAATTGTGATTGGGCCCCTTCTCCCTCTCTCATTACCTTTTTCCTAGGCATTGGGAGAGTTTGATTTTTCTCAGCTTTGATGGAAGGAGCTCAGGCCAAAACTTAGTGCCCAGGCATTAGTCTGGCTGACCTGAAGTTCCCTCTGGGCTTCTGCATATTGGATACTTGGCTTCACACCTCTAAGCCTCAGTTTTCTCATCTGTACAGTGGAGGCCTTAAGAGTGCATTTCACAGGATAGTTGTGAAAATTCATTGAGATAGTTTACAGAAAGTGCTAGAACATAGCTCTCAATAAATGGTGTCATCATCGTTACTGTTAGATGGAGCCATGTATGATTGCCGATACTTGGCCATTTTTGACCCAAAGAAAGGGGGCGTAATTTGTGTACTCAGCCTAATATTGTCACATCATGGTTGGTCATTAGCAAGGATAGGATGGGAAGACAGGTGTGTCACACAGCCAAGACCTCACTTCCAACTTCAGCACTGTCTGTGCTTCCTTTTACTCTTGACACCTCCAGCCTTCCTGCATAGCTCCCTCTGCTGAAGATGCTGGAATGGAAAAACCCAGTTGTGCAGAGTGACTTTGCTTTGGGGAAGGGTGTAGGGCCTTATTTCACCACTGAACTTGGCTAGCAATACATCACAGGTGTGGGCTGAGAGCAGGCAGTTGGATCTCTCTCTACCTGCCCTTTGCCCCATGTTGACCTGTGCCAGAGGAGTGACTTGGCCCATCGTGAGACACCTGTTGTGTCTGGGGCCTGTTCCAGCTGACTGGCTTTCCCCAGGAGCCCTGGGTTCCTCCCTAGCGGGCTCCAGGTCCATCATAGCTGCCTCTAGCTAGCTGGGGTGCATCCCATGGTATGACTGAACCCCCATTGTTCCCACAGCTGGGCCTGCTAGTTGACCTCTCCCCAGATGGCCTGATGATCCCTGAAGATGGAGTTAACGATGAGGAACTGGAGGCTGAGTTCTTGGCCTTGGTGGGAGGCCAGCCCCAAGCCTTGGAGAAGCTTAAAGGCAAAGGTGAGACTCTCAGTACACCCCTGAACATTTTCTGAGCTCCTGTTTGGAGCTGGGCACTGAGGCGAGGAGAGTATGAAGACAGAGAAGATCCTTGTCCGCCTGGCAACCTCAGTCTGGGGAAGAGTTAAGCGATCGGCTCTGGCCCCAAAATGAGGATTCAAGTCCCACTTCTGCAACTAACTGGCTGTGTGACTTGCTGAGTTTCAGCAACTATATGGGGCTCAGTTTCCCTGTCTGTAAAATGGGAATAATGACCAATAATGGATGTGGCATGTCCTCCAACCCATGGTTCTGTGATCAGGGCTGGGATTGGGGGAGACCTGTGAGCTGGACTGGGATTCCAGGAGGAGGCACCTGCAATGGGGAGGGCCAGGTGAAGAGTGGGGGAGGAGGTGAGTCACAATTTGTGCACAGGCCCTGGAAGAGGTGATGGGGGCAGGGGACTCTGCAGTGGTCAAGTGGGGCTGGAACTCGGGCACACGGAATCTTTACACTTTATAGCTAATGCAGTTGATCCTTGTTAGCTACGGATTCCGAATCTGTAAATTCATCTATTGGTTTAAATTTATTTGTAACCTCCAAATCAGTTGCTTGTCGCACTGCTGCAGTCATTCACAGACATGCATGGAGCTGCCAAAAGTTTGAGTCACCCAGTGTGCCTGTTCCCTGCCGAGGCGACACTCTGCCTTCTTGTCTCAGTGCATAAATAGTGTCCTTTTCTTGGTCTGTGGAATGTCAACGCTGTTCTCATGTTTCTGCTTTTTGTTGGTTTTGCGGATCCACGTGGTCCCCAAGCGCAGTGCCAGAGTGCTGTTTCCTGTTCCTTAGTGTGAGAAGACTAGGATGTACCTTGTAGATGAGATGGCTGGATGGCATCACCAACTCGATGGACATGGGTTTTGGTGGCCTCTGGGAGTTGGTGATGGACAGGGAGGCCTGGCGTGCTGCGATTCATGGGGTCGCAAAGAGTCGGACACAACTGAGCGACTGAACTGAACTGTAGATAAGTTTCATTCAGGCATTAGTTATAGTACTGTTGGCCTCAAGTTCCATGTTAGCGAATCAACAATATATATTAACGAAGGTGTCTTTAAGTAGAAACGCACATAAAACAAGGATATATATTGCCTGTTTGACAACAATGTTGTGCCCAGAGGCTCATGAGAACTTAATGCTGTATTTCCTTCAGGGCCAGTTGGTTCACTATTCACTAATTCCAACTTTATAGAACATGGGTGCCGCGAATAACAAGAGTTACATGAACAACAAAACACTGATAGGGTGCTGTTCTGAGAGCTGCATTTACCTTTAGGCCCTGCAGTCTATGGTGAGGGAGAGACTGTTATTGTCCCCATCTAACAGATGGGACGACTAAGGCCTAGGGAGGTGAAGCGACTCGCCCAGGGGTCCCACAGTGAGAAAGTTGCAGATCTGGGGTTCCAACTCAGGCTTGTCAAGGGAGAGATGAGGCCAGGGGGATCAACAGGGACTAGGATCATGCCTGCTGGCCCAAGGACAGTGGGGTGCCATGGAAGAGCCAGGAGAGGAAGACACTGCCCATTGCCTGCTCCCCTAATTTTCATGGCCATGGGTGAATGGGACAGGAGGCTGGGGACTCTTGAAGGATCCTGGTTCAACTGGGGCCTCCCCTTGCCTCCAGGTCCCCTACCAATGGAAGCCATTGAGAAGATGGCCAGCTTATGCATGAGAGACCCGGATGAGGATGAAGAGGAGGGAACAGACGAGGAGGACGTGGAGGCTGATGATGACCTGCTGGTGAGCGCCCAGGGCGGAGTAGGAGACCTCCCCCGTTGTTGTCCGCCCAGCAGGCCCTCACGACTGGCCCCCGGCCGTGTGTCCCTGCAGGCGGAGCTGAACGAGGTTCTTGGGGAGGAAGAGGAGGCTTCAGAGCCCCGCCCTCCTGTGGCCCAGGTATGCCCTTGACGCCGCTGGTCCGTGCAGCCCGGAGTTCAAGGCCTCCCTCCTCCCCTCTCAACCACGGGGCCTCGCGCAGGTGGCGAGGTGCCTCTCATCCCCAGTCCTCCACCCTGGGAGACGGGCAATGATTTCTGCCCCTTCGGGGTTACAAGGGGCAACACACCTGGTATACAGTAGGTACTCAACCCAGGAGGCTGTCAGGGTGGACCCAAGAGAGGGGTCACCACCCAGACCGTGCACCTGGCCCCTCCCGCAGCCAAAGGCCACAACGCCCAGCCCAGGGCTGGAGGCCACCTTGCAAGAGAGGCTGGCCCTCTACCAGACCGCGATCGAAAGCGCTAGGCAAGCCGGAGACAGTGCCAAGATGCGGCGCTACGACCGGGGGCTTAAGGTGAGTGGGCAGACAAGAGGGTAACCAGGTCCTCACCACTGCCCCCTGCACCCAGCTCCAGGCTCCTGCCAAACCCACGTTCACACCTTCTCCCAGACACTTGAAAACCTGCTGGCCTCGGTCCGGAAAGGCAAAACCATCGACGAAGGGGACATCCCGCCACCTGTGGCTGTGGGGAAGGGTCCAGTGGCCACCCCCAGCCACACACCTGCACCCATCCCACCAGCCCCTCTGAACCCGCTGGCCCCAGATCCCCGGGTCATCATGGAGAGTCCTCCTTCCGCTGCTCCATCATCGTCCCTGGTCTCCGCTAAACCCCAGCCGCCCCCAGGTAGGCCACAGGCAGGGCTGGCTGATGTGGGCTGATGAGGGGGTTATTCATTCAGTGACTGGCCCTTTGGTGGGGGGGTACAGGGCCTGCACTGATTTTTATTTTATTTTTTTTTTATGCACTGATTTTTAGATATTTTTAACTCATTTCCCTCCCAAGATCCTACTTTCCAAGGGGAACACAGGCTCACAAGAGAGTTTTCTGTTGTGGTAGCTATAAAATATATTTAACAAAACATTTGCCATTTAACTATTTTTCAGCATGCAATTGAGTGATATTTATCACTTTCATGATATTGTGCAACCACCACCTCTATCAATTTCCAAAACTTTTTCATCTCCCCTATGCAGTACTAACTCCCCATTCTCCCTGGCCCAGTCCCTAGGAACCTCTGTTCTACTTTCTGTCTCTGGATTTGCCTCTTATAGATATTTCATGTAAATAGAATCATCCACTATTTGT